GTAACTCCCGAACCCCGGGGGCTATCCACGCGGAGGTGGTCTCATTCGAAAGAGGGCCTCGAGACGTACACTCGATTCGCGTTCGAGAGGGTTCCTTGAGCTGAAGAGATCCCCCGAATTTGGTGCGGATTCACCGCGCCGTTACGGAGATATGGCCGTTCAGAGTTTCAGTGGTTTTCCATAGACTTAAGCTTTAAAGCGTTTCATCCAGGTCGCCAGTAGCAAACAATGGAGCGCGCTCTGCTGGACAAACTAAGTAATTACACCATTTCAAGCATTTTATCTGCATTATATGTTCTGCAAAAAAAAATTTCATATCGGCGGCATATTCGCCGATACCGATATATCAGCGACAGGCTCATATCGGCCGATAATATCAGCAAAACGATATACCGGTCGGGCTCTAGTTCTGACCTTTAAATTAAAACATACTCATGATTTTATGACATTGATACTGCTTTGTTTATTCAGAAACACAAGTTTCTTAGTGATATTTTGTGTATTTTACTTTCATTTTGTTACAAGTAGGCCAACAGCACCCCCCTGTATGTAAATACAACCCCTCACCAGACAGGCATTAGGACCCGGGGGAAGCTGCCACTAGTGACTGTTGACTATCACACACCGAACGCATCATCTTGTACGTGCATTCTCAAATTAAATTTCCTTTTATCGGCAAGACATATCGGCATTATTTTTAATATCGGACCGATGCCGATATTTACATTTCAAGCCATTATCGGCCGATTCCGATATCGGTTCAATAATATCGTGCATCCCTAATACATTTATATTATAAAGCACATTTATATAAAATGTGGATGTATATCACGAGAATCATTTTTGATTCGTTCATTACCCTGTATTCAAAATCAGAGAACTCTCTTCCTCCTTGACTTCCTCTGAATGCCCCTCTGAAGCCACTTCCACCAGGGTGAGAGCCGAACGACCCCCATCCGGCTTCGCGGCCCCGGCCCCCTCTGAAGCCCATGCCACCGCGACCTCTGAAGCCTCCGCGGCCCCGCCGCAACGGGAGGCCAAATGTCTCTGCGTTCATCCTCCGCTCCGTCGCCCAGGTCTGCCTCCTCTCTCTTAATTAAATGATGAAAATTACAAATTTTTCGTTGCACGTTTCTACACAAACTGAGGCTACTTCCAATAAGTGCTGGCTTCTGCTGTACTCACCGGGGGAAACCGGACCCTCCAAACCTCTCCTTCCTGTTTAAAATCAGGTACAATGACAAGATTTATGAACTTGTTCATATTAAAGGTTTAGGCTCATATTATTAAAGGTGTGCTGGATGTGATGTGACCTTGTGTCGTCACAGGAGATGTTGTCAAAAAAGGATTTGGATTTATCGTAGTAGCATTTTGGTCTGAGAGGATCTTCCTCATCAACGTTTCCTTCGTTGTTCTGAGTGTCGACCCCTGAATCACCCTTATCCTCGCCATTCAAAGCTTTATCGCACTTCTCATCTGACCAAACATATACAGTTAATACACAGAGAAATATACCTGCATTTTTCTCTAGACTACAGTATGAGAATGCCATCTGCTGTGAAATTGAGCTCTATACTGAATGTGTGTACTTAAAAATTATGTGTAAAAAAACAAAACACCTGTACTTGCAGAAAAGAGAATAATAATAATAAAGAAGAATACACTTTTTTATAATTTTAACTTATTTCATATTAGATTTTAAGTTAATAACAACTTTAATTCCAGCTTAATCATTATAAATGTGTAATTACAAATGTATTTAAATACATGACATACAAGATTCAACAGAAATGGAATTCAAGTATTTATTTTAGTTTACCATAAATGATTTTCAGTACATTCGTCAGTACTACTTGGGTCCAAAAAAAAAAAAAAAAGCACTCTCGTTATACTAATTGCATTTTGCAAACTTAAGCTATAATACATTTCCATTTAATTGCATTTAATAAGCAGTTAAGTGCAAGAAAACATTACATTCAGTTTGTACTAAAGAATATTCTTTCAAAGTATATTAGGTTACACTTTATTTTAAGGTGTCCTTGTTACAGTGTAATTTTACATTTAAGTACTGAGTGATATTAATTGACTACATTTACTTACCGTATTGACCCGAATATAAGAATGTTTTTTTCTTGGAAATACATCTGAAAAAACGCAGTCGTCTTATATTCGGGGTCTAGACTTTGACATGTCAATAATACACCCACAACAATAGGTGGCGCCAAATACGCATAAAACGAGTGTGCCATGAAATACGTAATGTAATGCGTGTTGTAAAGATCGCGAATAAAAACAAAAGATTAAGAAAACCTTACAGCTGCATGAGTCGTGACTCAAAAGGTACATCTGGAAAAAGGGGGGTCGTCTTATAATCAGGGTCGTCTTATATTTGGGCCAATACGGTACTATATTGTTAGGGTTACTTGCATGTAATTATGCATAATTTATTGTTATTATAATAGTAAGTACATGTAACGTGAAACAAGGATACCTTAAAATAAAGTGTTACCGTATATTTTCTCTTTTTAAAAGTATGCTAACATGTAGTTTATCAGCTGATCTTGCATATTTGGTAACCTGTTTGTACCTTTCAGTTTGAGTTTGCTCTGGAACTCTTTGTCAATCTCGTCTTTGTTGAACTGAGCATTGGCGCTCTCAAAGTCAAAGTCTTTCTCAAACTTCATGGGTCCTTCTCTTCGCACAGGGAACCGTCCTCTACCACGATGACCCCCGGCCCAACCGCGGCGCGCAGCAGGAGGACCACCACCTGAGCAGAACAAACACACGAGTATAGCTCTAGATACAAATACATTGTCATAAACACATAAAATACACATTTATAAACGTCACAAAAAATAATTAATTTAAGCATGCTGTGACATTCAGTTGCTAATAATATAAATGTAAAATGTCTATTCTCACAGACTTTAGTTAAGTTTAGTTGTCGGTGAGCAGAAAAAAGCTTCTAAGTTTATTTAGAAGTAATCAAGCTAAATTAAAACAAGCACAACTTGTGTGAAAACAGTCACCTAAGAATCCTAAGAACGCAGAGGCCTTTTCACACAGAGGAGATATGAGCAAATTCAGCATATTGAGTGAATCTCATTAAAACATACTCAGGTCACCATTCCACCAAAATAAAAAACAATATGGGTGCTCAATATGGGTGCAATAGGCGCTCTCCCGCTACAGTTTTAATTAACATCAGCAGATTGGTAAAGTACAAGTGCTACAATTTTAATTACATAACATTAAAATGAGACCTTTTAACTTTTTTTGCACATTACAATTATGAGACTTCCGGGGGAAACTTTCTTATTTAGTGAAAATGTCACACGTGAAGCCTACTGGTCCAAAAAAACAGGTTTCTTAAATGCATTTGTTCTTTTTAATGGTAGGGTGAAACACACTCATCAGGTTGCATGAGATTCACCAATCAGAAGTTCCTCTATAAGAAAGGAGCTTGCTAAAAGCCACTGTGTGGATGCGTGTGAAATACAGATGGACGAAGCTCTTATAAGAATCATGCAGTTTTAGCATCCAACAGCACAACAAAACTGCGGTGAAAGGCTTTTCAGCAGACGTGTTATAACCTGCAAGCCGTTTAGAAGTGTCCCTGTTTCCTCCTCTGGACTGACTGGACTCTGGTACGCTTGGTTTCGGGACATCGGTGCCTGGGAGAGTATAACTCTTTAAAACACATTAAGCTGTACCAAATCCTTGTAGCAGAACACTAGTATTGTTCATACAGTGTCATGTTTCTCTATTCTTAATATTGTTCCTTTTCTGAGAAGCCCTAATAAAAGGCCTGTAATTCCTAAAAGACTACACCGAATACATTACCTTTGTCAAGTGGCTCCGTGAACAGCCCGAGTCATAGGCTGCATCTTAAAAACTACCTACCTGTCCTGGACAGCAAACTTGGGCATCGGAGGTCCAAACATTATTGTAGTACCACTAACGTTCTCATTCAGTTTTTAAAACTGGAATGACGAATTAAATGGCCATGGGTGTTAAAATATGTTCTCCAAAACTATGAGTTAAATACGTGATTCACTATCGGCACATTTCAGATGAAGTCAGACATGGGAATACCCAAACTGACTTCCCATTTGAGTCCTCATTGTGTTAGTCATAGGGTGACCATACGGGCCATTTTTACGGGACGCGTCCTTGCTATAGAGAGCAGAGCCGATGGCTCCTTATGCTTTCGAATCGCTCTCGCGGTACTTTGGTGTCATTCAATGATCGGTGCGCAGCGACGCTTCAAGTCGAACAAACGAACAAACACGTGCGCGTATTTGCATCGCTTTGATCGCTCTCTGTAGATCTAACCTTCTCACGCGCCACGATTGGTCGATTATATACAATACCTGCATGTTATTGGTCAAACATACTTTGGATGTTTTAGGCAATATAAAAATCCTGGCCAGGACGTGTCCTGATTGAACAGCACATATGGCCACCCTAGTTAGTCATCACACATCATGGTCACATGAAGAGACGGAGTTCAAATTCTGGGGGCAGTTCACAAGCCAACAAGAGCAAATCCCGTTAGGGGCCGATTACACAGAGCCCATTTTTCCATGCCAATGTGCTATTTATCCTTTGTTTTTCTATGTAAACAAATGCTAGTTGGATGTGTATGTCCGTTGTGCTCGCATCTTTTGCAGCATCTCGCACATGAGCGCCGCAAAGGAGGCACTCATAGTGGCTATGTCTGGATACCCTGAATTATGTAACATTTCTTCAAGCGATTATGACAACCTGTTTCTTAAAAAAAAAAGAGCCTGATATTCTCTATCAATTCTACTGCTTGGCTATTTTCTGTTATTTCCGTTATTGCATCGTGTCTCATGGTCTGCGCTGGTTTTTTTTTTTGTTTTTTTTGTTTTAAGCATTCTCAAGTGCTGAGTCTCACATTTTTAGACGCTAAGACGCATTCTGTGTGAACGGCCCCTTAAAGGGTTAGTTCACCCCAAAATGAAAATTCTGTCATTAATTACTCACCCTCATGTCGTTCCAAACACATAAGACCTTTGTTCATCTTCGGACACAAATTAAGATATTTTTGATGAAATCTGAGAGCTCTCTGATCCTCCCATAGACAGCAACACAACTGCAATGTTCCCAGGTCCAGACACGTAGCAAAGACATCGAGAATACTTTTTGTGCGCAAAGGAAACTAAAATAATTTCTTCAACAATTCTTCTCCCCGAGTGAACGTCTTCCGCCATTTTGGAGAGTACCATGGCACATGTGCGCGCTTTCTCCAGAACATTATCAGCGCTGTTTGCGTTCAGCATGAGCATATTTTCTCCGGAACGAGAGAAACCCTTTAAGCATCATTTGGAAAAGTGGTAACTGAACTGCAACACTTCGGTCTTGAGCAGCAAGTTGGCATCTGGATTTATTCTCACCTCTAGTCTGTTCTGTGAGGTCCACAGGCGTCTGTGTGTTGGTGGAGGCTGCGCGAGTCTCCACGGGGCTCTTGCGAGCCACGGCTGTGGGAGCAGGTGCTGATGAGGCAGCAGGTTCCGCTGGGGGGTTCTTTAGCAGAGGGTCCAGAGCCAGATTGGTGTGATCTGTATAAAAATAATGGTGAAAGTTAAGAGAGTCTAATGTAATCTACAGTTTACAGTGAAAAGGCTAAGAACTGCAGCCACCCTGATGTGAGGAAATCAGTGCTGGTTAGAAGATGAAATCTTGTGAAATGTGTTAAGTCATTTATTGATTATTCCGAGGTCACCACAATCCAGACACGCACTCAACTGTAAAGTACTTGGAGAAATTTTAAATCAAAGTTTCAAAAGACACACAGTGGCCATGTACACACAGCAGCTAAACACCGTTGTCCTAGAGGGCTTAAACCAGCTTCTGTTCAGGAGCGACAACAGAAAACTTCAGGTCCTGACAACCAAACTTACATTACATTTGCAGTGCAAATTTAAATAAGAGTGCAAAGAACCAAACTTTAGAAGTAGTTCACACATTTTGACTTATGACTTTTGACCTACAGGGACATGTCACAGAGGCTAACGTCATTACACAATCATGGTGGAAGTGGCTTCCTAGTGCACTAGTAGCTCCAACAGAATGGCCACCTAAACCAAGGAACATCACAGGAAACCCAAGCACTGAAAGGAATAGTCTTGGCACCACCAACAATGGAGACAACCCAGCCTAATGGTGGATAGCTCTGGACCCCAAGGTCCCGCAGAGTTTTGTGGTCTATACAAATGCCCACAATGTGTGATGATGACTAACACAATGAATCAAACACACCCACTTGGAATTTTGAAGTAAACCTGAAAACTTTCTGGAGTGTTTGATTAGGGGTGCAGCTCAACTCGGCAGGACATTGCACACCTTGAGGGCCAGAGCTAATTAATTTATAATAATTTATGCATTTAGCAGACGCTTGCGACTTACAGTGCATTCAGGCTATAAATTTTTTACCAGTATGTGTGTTCCCTGGGAATCGAACCCACAACCTTTTGCGCTGCTAACGCAATGCTCTACCACTGAGCCACAGGAATACTTCCACACTAGCCACAGTTGCCCATCCCTGATCCAGCCCAATGACAGAAGTCATAGCCTAAGCAAATGTGAGAAACCTGGGAAGAGGTACGATGGAAAGTAGGAGCTTCAAGGATAATGGACAAGGTAGGTCCTCCCACCTTGAAGATGATAACATTACTGCATAAGGCTGGAGACTAGGGCTGTCGCGATTTGTCGATGCTATTCGACTATTCGATTTTTTAAAAATCCTCTGCTTCATTTTGCCTGCGTCGACTAACCAGCAAAATACCGGAAGTGGCGCATTTTACGGACGAGAATCCATAAAACATTATTAGACTGTTTTCCAAGGCCTCATGATATATTAAACCCATTTAAAAATCATAATTAAGCATAACGGTGAATTCACAAACGCTACGATTTAATTAAATAATTATATGTGATGCCGTTATAGGTTACGTACGTGCGTCTCACAGCGGCTCCGTTCACAGTAAATGCTGTTCCACAGGAACTGTTATCATTTACATATGTGGAGCGGCTCAAACTCCATCTCTGCGTGTTGTTGTGAGTTTGGGTTTATTATAACGTTCACCTGGGAACGCAATGTGCGCCATTTCATCAGATTTGTAAGGTAAATCGTTTATAAATCCACGCAAACACAGGAGAATACATTATCATCTTGCAGTTTCAAAAGAACAGCTCAAACCCTCACTCTTGAGTTTACACGTTTTGATGTCCACATATTCATTCAATTACAGTGGCTATAGCATTTCTGTCCTAAAGAAATGGCAAAATATTAAAGATTAAGTGGACATTTGATTTAAATGATGCTTGGTAAATATTAAACAAGTATTAGATCGCACAGTAATGTGTAAAACACTGCTCCGGGTGTGTGTTCACGGTGTGTGTGTGTTCACTGCTGTGTGTGTGCACTTTGGATGGGATAAATGCAGAGCACTAATTCCTAGTATGGGTCACCATACTTGGCCACATGTCACGTCACGTCACGTAAAAACAATCGTCAGGCCGTTGGTGCCCCCTGTAGGCCTTTGTTGTAATGCGTACTGTACATTAGCTCTATTCACCGATCTATAACAGAGATTATATTATATAATTTTATGATTACATATAGATCAGTGGCTCTATTACATTATAATACAGTATTTTAACAGTTTTGTTCAATAAAACCATGTGATATCTTGCTTTTGATACTTTATTTGAACTAATTATTATTGCCTCATTGCTATTGTATATGTATTTTAAGTAAATTTAAAGGCTATTGTTCACTTAACCTACATCTATTTTTATTACCACAAAAATGTATTATAATATGTTATTATTAGTAGACCAGAACATGTGGACATGTTGTTATTCTTACACTATAATACTGAACTTTGATTTCAGTGATTTGGACTATGAGATGGACACTTGCTTCTTGCACTCTATGTTGCACTTTACTTTTGCTTTAAAAAAAGGATTTCATAGAAATTTGGATTTCATTTGGAGTTTCACTACTGAAGTCCGCTGTTAATTTTTTTTCATCATGCTGGAGATGTCTGTTTAAATCTGTTGTTTACACATTTCTAAGTGTACTTTTAATACTTAAAATTGTTAATAATAATAACAACATTTTAATACTTGATTCTAGTGGACTCTAAACACTGCATTTATTTAATGTGAAAACCCAACTGTTGGGGTTAATTGAAATTGTTTTTCCCCTTTGTAGTTGCACTCACAGCTATAATGAACAGAAGCCTAGAACATGTGGATATATTGACATTAAGAACATGCTGACTTTCTCAAACTTTTGTAATTTTCTTTTTATTTCATTTTTATTAGGTTTGTTTAAATTTTTACTCTTTTAGTTTTACATTTCGTCAATGGCTTGTTTACATTTATACTTTTTTATGGTACACTACAGAATGGCAAAGTTGAAAGTTCAATAAAATTGTTGGGTTTTTTTGTGGGAAATTAATCGTTTAGATTAATCTATGAATCGATAAATTAGTCGATAGATTAATCGAAATAAAAATAGTCGTTAGTCGCAGCCCTACTGGAGACTTTTTCAAGCTTTTCTATTTAGGGTGGTCTACAATGCCCTCTAATCCCTGGAGAATTTGCACAGGTGGTGATTGTGAAAAGTCTCGGTTTGCAAACGCAGTAGAGTAAAGGGGCCTCAAAGGCACACATCCTGTCAGGTTGCAAGGCAGCAGTGACCCAGGGAAAGTACAGGTGGTGCCATGATAAAGTATCGATGCTCACAGGCATTCTGAAGCAGGACAAGATGAAGCACACAATCAGGACATTAAGTAATGCGCAAGTCACTTATCCCCATTTTGCACCAAGGCCAAATGTGCTAAACTGTGCCCACAGGTGTGGAGATGTACCTAGGTGGAAAGTTTTAATACTCTGATCTAGGGGTGGGTGATATACTGGTAGACACGATTAACCGGTAGAAAATTATCAACCGTTAGAAATTTGACTATTGTGTCTATCACGGTTACACGCTCATGTGATGTTGCTGTGCTACGTGGTCATGAAAACGTATCGTTTGCACTACGGCTGCACAATATATCGTTTCAGCATCGATATCGCGATGTGCACAGTCGCAATAGTCACATTGCAGGATGTACAATGTTTAGTATACTGATCGTTATATTTATACTGATTTTTTTCTTTGCTCACACACAGACACGGTGTCTACACCAGACGTGACAGCTGTACAGAGATACCCATTTTAAATAAATTTAGTAGCAGTGCTACTGCAAAGGATTTTCAGTGCTGGAAATCCATTAATCCTTTGTTGAAACTTCCGCGTCGTCTCGGAGAGCGCAGGTCACAGTCGCTTAGCAACCGCTGACGCCACGAAAGCGCAAGCTCCCGAGTGCTTTGGAAAGGAGAAAGCAGCGCAGCTGGCGTTTTCCACGTGTTTTAGGCGCGACATGTGAACATCCCCAAAGTCTGTCTACACTGGACGCGACAAAGCGACCGTTACATATTTGAACTTTATGTCAGTACGTCATAAATAGAACGAGGCATCAGTTTACAGTCGGGATTTGTCGTGTCGCGCACAGATGCACGTAAACACTGATTTCTGTTCACTTCTGCGTCTATTTGTGCCTGAAATACTGTGCTCTGCAAGTATCCTTGTAAACACCGATGCTTATGGCTTAGGTGAAGGTAAACAATTGAGAAAGAAAATGGATGTGTAACAGTATATTGGTTCACAGCAGTTTAATGTTCCTGTTGCTGTCTCTGTCATGAACGTTAATCAAACAACAAAACACAAAGAAAAATCACTTTTGTAGCTTTAACACAGATTTGTTAGATTTAATTTATAGTGAAAATTATGCAGTGTTATTTTACATTTGATTATTCAATTTCTGTACCTGAATACTGTTAAAGACTTACCTGAAAAATATAAAGCACTGCTTATTTAATTTGTATCCTTGTTGTTATTTATCTATGCTTGTAATTTGTTTATTTTCTATGCTGATTTACACGCCTACAAAATCACCCCAATCATTGATTAATTTTTTTCCAAATAGAGCTATTGAAGTCATCTGATTTATTTTTTATATCGCAATATATATCCCAGAAAAAAAAAGAATCGCAATGTGAGTTTTTTTCCAATATAGTTTGCACACGTTTTTAAGCATTGCAGTTTAACCCTCTCGGGTCGACAAACGTGCTGGTGCGTTTTGTTGCATTTTTTTTTAAAGCCCCTAAAGGAACTTAAAGGGGTCATATGATGCGATTTCAATTTTTCCTTTC